ATATTTTTGTGTCTCACAGTTATAAGACTCCTGTATTTTGTAGAACTATGTTGATTGTTTCCATAACAGATAAACATTATGGTTAAAGAATGCTTTATGTATATTTTGTTTCTCAATTGATCAGGGCCGACTTTATGTATTTATAAACAAAGGTAGGGCTTAGGTCCCCCACTCCTAGAAGGCTCCACTTAACCTAAATATCCAATACATTCCAATCTATTTGTTGAATCGTTACTCGCTGTGCACGCCTTACAATTCTCTTCTTCTCAGCGGCTGCTCAAAATAATCGGAACTTGATTAGCAGTTCTGCTCTTCTTCTTTTCAATTCTTGAACATCTGAACCACTAAAACACTCTTACTTCTCCATTCTTTGCTTCTCCACAAGTTTTGATAAATCGATTGTTCAAAATTTTCTAAATTCTGATGATTCAAGGGTTTCACTAAACCGGTATGTGAAATTTTTTCACTTTTCACTTTTTATTTTTCCATTATCTAAAGTCATTTGATTACTTGTTTAGGGTTAATTCTTATAACTTTTCAGTTTTTATTTTTTTAGCTATGTGATTTTTGATTCAATCGACATTTATCATTGATTACAACATATTACATTTACAGAATATATAATCACTGAGTGAATCAGGTTTAAACGAATTTCAACATTTGAGTTTTTAGTTTTTCAGATTTGAGCTTTCCATTTATCTTCTAGTTCTATTCTCAAATCTCAAGGCAACAGTCAGATAAAAGTTGAGTGTTTATAACATTAAGTATAGTAAATGTCAAAGGACCCCAAAATTTTGATTTGCTTAGAGCCCCAAAACCGGTTGAGCCGCCCCTGCAATTGATGCATTTTAGGCTTTTCTTGAAACAAAAGATTAGACTCTGTATACTATAGAATAGTGTACATTTATGGACAACCATTTATGTCTAAAATCCGTTGATATTGGGTTTTGGTGGTTGGTTAGCCACATATAAAAATTGGTTAGAAGAAGGCGTTCGTGGGCAATATCTTGTACTGATACATTACACACACTACAGACCGACTAATTTCGCCGAGAGTTTCACAATACTATGGATTATCGACATAAACTTCATATCGATGTATTGCCAACATATTTACGATCATTTTAGCAACAAAAGGCCTTTACTAGCTGTTTGTAAATTAATTGTATTAATTAGACGTTTAAAATTACAAAAATAATCTTAATTTTCTTGAATAAATAAAGAAAGATAAATTATAACAAACAATATATTTTGATTTTGTAGTATGAATGGAAACAATAAATATAAGTCTATAAATTTGCAAAACAAAGCCCACAAAAATAAATTACTATGAGAAAGCAGGGTAGGTTGCTAAATAGCAATGCCTCATCAAGATCGTTTGATCAACGAATGGCTGAGATCGATAATCATGTTTAATGTGCCTAATCTCTACGTGTGCTTTCTAATGAAGAGTTTGGAAAGAACTTCCTACAATAATCTACATCTAATCATATATGTTTCTTTCACTAACCCTTTTCTAAAAACACACCAACCACCAATGTTGATTTATGTGGGGATGTTGGATCAACAGCTCCCCATAGATATCAGCGATGATAGAACACCAATCAAATAGGAGAAATTTGGGAAAAGGTTAAATTATTGACCCAACGAAAAATTAGCAAAGTTTGTCTGAATGTGTTTACATCCCCATAATAAACCCGCAACAAATTTCTAAAAAAAATTAGGAAACAATAAATGGTTTTATAGTGATTCTCGTCTTCCAAGCTTGATAAGGCGATATCTGCACCACGTACCTTGTTCGACTCCATAGCCTACGAGTTCTAATGATTGGGGAATTTGTGTTATCTTAATCCTTTTTCCGTTAGTGACACAAGGTTTTGTTCTTAATCCATGAAACCTAGATTCGTAATTTTGTATCTTGTTGGCTATTGAAATGCATGTAGCTACATGTGTTTAATTTAATTTAAGCAGTAGTCAACCTTCACAATTCCACTTTTTCTTTTTAGTGACATTGTATTTTTAGCTTATTTGTTTAGGTTCACATTTTCTAGTTACTAATGGATTTCAAGAGAATCTTTGTATGTCTCATTTCCTAGTTACGTACCATGGGGCTTCATAATTTCTATTTATTTTCCATGGGTATGGGGAGTTTGTTGCTTTATTTATTGATGGTCAGGTTGAAGAGAAATAACGAAAATATGGGTGGGTTAAACCCTAAACACCTTCTTCTTTGAAATGGTGATTATGGATACTGATGGTAATGATGGTGGCAGTGGAAGGCGACCGAAGAAGTGGGATGAATGAATGGGGGTAGATATGGTGACCGAAGAAGTGAGATGAATGAATGGGGGTAGATATGGTGACGTAAGTTAAGGTAGGTGGATGGGGTTTGGATTTATTTGTTATCTTTCTTAATTCTAAAAACTAAGAAAAAAGAGATAAAAAGCATTTTAACATTATATGAAAGTCAATTTACATAGCTATGGACCGATCACGTAAGTAATTGAAACCATAAGGAACATATCGTCAAGACAAAAATAATAAATACTGAACATCCCACTTTTTTTAAAGCACAAGATATGATTTAATCTAATACAAATAGGCACATAAAATACATAAACTAAGATTTGTTTTTGAAAAAATAGAGTTCTCTTTTGCAAAATTAGTGTTTAAAGAGGGAAAAGCCATATGACCCTTATTGTCCCGCTTCCTTCTACTTGATTACCCTCTTCCTCATGTTTCTTTACTTTCTCGGTACGGTTCAATATAGATTCAAAAGATCGAGTTTTACATAGGATGAAAAGAAGATAGGTCATACCCTTGGCCTCCATGAAGGATCTCATCCTCCTTGTAACTTCATCACTACTAGAAAAATAGTCTTTTACGACACACAATGTGTCTCGTAAACGCTCAGACGACACGCAAATACATGTCAAGGAAGGTGCTGTCATAACGAAAGACGACACGCTTTTGCGCGATGTCTATTTACGACATGCATTTACAACGCGCAGTTACGACATGCATTTCCGACGCTCATTTACGACACACAATGTGTATCATGGAAGGCCCTATCATAAAGGAAGACGACACACATTTGTGTTTCGTAACCTTACGACACGCATTGCGTATCATTAAAGCCCCTATTATAAATGAAGATGACACGCATTTGTGTGTCATAAACTACAGCAACCATTTACGATATGCATATACGACGTGCCTTTACGATTCTCTTTTACGCATAGTACAAAAATATAGAAACACATATATACCAAAACAATCAATTTCATCCAATAACATCATGTCAAAAAATTGTAATACATTGATATTAAAGGGATCGAAATGTACATTGTTATTAAGAGGTTTTCCCTAAGTATATAACCTAATACTACATTGCTACAAAGGGGCACCTTCTTGTTTCAGATACCATGTCATAAAAATCCTCCATATCATTGACCTGGTGTACTGTGCTGCTGTCCACCGGGCATGGTTGGCAAGTAATGACCTGAACATTAGCTGAAACAAAAAAGTTATTATTAATCACAAAATCAAGTTTAGCTACAAAAAAAATTGATGTATGATACATTGTGACAAAGATACTTTTTTTTTTCATAAGTAGAATGTTGTGACATGAACAAATGAAAATCCTACATTCATGGAATTTAAAATACATAAATGTTTTCAGTTGCAAGAACCTTTCCATAGCTGCTCTAAAGGTGTCATGCACTTCAGCATTCATGTGTTGTTATTGTTGTTGTTTACAGGCATGAACCCCCTGGTGATGTGCTGCTACACCTTGTGTGATTTTCGGCCCGCTGGTGGGGACCATTGGAGATGGGATAGGCTCGACTGAAACTGGTTCAAGTGGTCCTGCTTGGTAACCAGGGTTAGCATGCACCCGATTATGATATTTGTTGTGCAACAAACTTATAGTTATATAAATATACTAAACATTAATTAATTAACTAATTTAAGAAAAACATACATACAGGATATAACTGAGAGCCCAAGGTCGAGGGTTGTTGGTATTGGTCGGCGTTTCTCATGATAGGTGGAATTGAAGGAACAAAGACTCTCGGGGCGGCTTGAGTTGCAATTGGAGTTGGATTGAACCCCATCTAAAACAACACGAGGGGTGTAAATTGTAAGTTTAAGTAAATTAAAGGGAGTAAAATGGAAGTTTTGGAAGAAATACTAGAAAACAGCCCTTTAATGACGCGCAAACAATGACACTCTCTGATAGAGGACGCGCATTTGCACGTGCCCTAAAAAATAATGTTAGTTTTGCAAAATTTGAAGGATAGAAAACACGCATTTCTACGTGCCCTACGAATATTGTCGAACAAAAAAATTAAAAACACGGAGGGCACCTATCATAAAATAGCGTGTCGTCTAAAACTGTCGCATTATATATTTTTCTTTATGAACGCGCGTTCTCCAATTTTTTAATTGCATCCAAAAAATAAAAACCCCGCCTTGGTACTCTCGTCCTTTTTCTTCTTCTTCTTCTTCTTCTTCGTATGTGAAATCCTCTTCAATCATAAAAAACCCTAAAAGCATTGTGTGTAAAACATCGATAATTTCATACTTGAAGTTCCTAAAATCTTCATCGATCAAAACAAACCCTAAAATCCCGCCTGATACCCACCTCAACTACCTCCAACCCGCACCGTCTTTCCCGATGTTTTTCTTCATATTCATCCCCTTCTTAGGTATGACTTCATGTTCGGCAGAGAAATAGGCCTCTAGAACTATCCGAACCAATCTCATCGAACCCAGATGTTGTTCCGATTTGTTTTCAAGGTCCGAGTGGGTTACCAGTTCTGAAGCACAGTACTGGACCACCTACACTTCCTGGATCTGGTCCCGGTCCCGCTCTTTCAGCTCTTGGTTCTTCCAATTTCGTTCATGGAACTAATCTTCCCTCTACTTCTTCCCCTGTTAATCCAGCTCTTGGTTCATGGAACTAATTTGCAAAATCCCGCCTAATTTTCTTACAGGTGATGCTCAATCCAGAAAATATTCTCATCATCACGAAGCAAAAACCCAAATCTTCTTCATTCTCTCTCCTCTATCACTTCCATAGCCGCTTCATATTTCCTTTTTCACTGTTTCAGCATACCGATGGTCTGAAATCCAGCTTCATATCAACTATTATCATTGCGTCTTCATCTGGTTATCAGGTAAAATATCCACATTTGAGATTTTATTCACAGTTTATTTGTTATTTAATGTCTGAGTTGTGGTTGAATGGTCTTGAACCTTGAAGCGGGTAGGGTTTTGGTCTATTAGTTACAAAGTGCCCGTTCACAATATTTGACGATCAAGCGACTCGATAGTTTAAATTCGTCGGTATTCGAGTCATCGTGTGTGCGATATTTTATCAATATGACCTTCGCTGTAACGGGTGAAGGTGAACAGAAAGTGATCAAGTAAGGGTAAATATCGTCTTGATTTTATTAAACATAAACATAAACATAATAATAATAATAATAGTAATCTAATATCGACCTTGATATTGATCCAACTGATGGAATGCCTTATGCTTAACCTTTGTGAACATCCTTACTGGTCCTCTTGTCAAGGGTTTTCTGACATGGTACTCTCCTGTAAATATCTGGTGACAATAGCTTTTTCTTTTGTCTAATTTTTTTCATTGATATGTGGTTTTGCAGGTTATATCACTGGACAACATGGTTGATAGGCTTTCTGATGTTAAGCTTCAGCCAACTAAGGTACTGACTGCTATATGTGGCCTATTACAGACGTTGATGTCAAACAAAGTTACAAAGGAAAGGAATCTCGGTCATTCTATCAAATCAGGATTATCTGAACAGGTTGGTTGCATTTGATGTATGACACTGAAGTTTACATTGAAACAGACTAACCAATTAATAAATACTAACTTTGTTAAAATTTTGCGAATGTTTTACAGGTGGCATCACAAGCTTCCATGGAGCTAATTCTAAAGGACGATTATCAGAGTTTGGTACCACTGGGTGATCTTGTTATCAAAATTGCAGAGAATGACCAATTTGATTGGTTAGGTCGCGTGAAACTCATTGATTGCATATTCAACTTTGTATTACTTAGTCTTCAAATAGGTCAGGTGCTTATGCTTCGCTTTCTGTGATATATATAAAATTTTCTTTGTTTTTAGTACCTTTAGTCCATTGTCATCAGTATCATTCTTATCATCTATTTGTGTGACATGGTTTCTGTTGTGTATAATTATAATAGGTCATGGTTGAGAAGCTGCTACTTATGCTCCGAGATCCTGATTTCCGTGTTCGATTTTCCCTAGCAAGAAGAATCGGTGTTCTTTTCCAAACATGGGATGACCATGATGAGCTCTTCCAGGATATACTGTATGTTTTAAAGCATAGCGTACTTTTTCAATATATTGTTTTCTAGCAAATTTATACTTAGTGTTAGGATCAAGTTTGCACTTGGAAAAAAAAAAGATTTAACCAGCAAAAAGAGTCTTGATATCAACCAGGTTCTTGGATGAAGCAACCTTCTTGTAGTTTTGTGTCCTTAAGTTTTTTGATACTGAGAAATAGAATGACCTCATATACACCTTTGTAGCTACCGTGGAAGAGATTAAATTCCTGATTATGTTTCTCCATTTTCCAGGTCAAATTTTAGTGTAAAATTGGTGGTGTTATTTAAGGATAAGTTCGTTAAAGCCAATGAGGTTTTAGCTGCTGGTAATCAACCACGCCCTATCATGGAAACCACCATTGTAACCCTTGTGCATCTTGCCCTGCATAGTGAGAAAATTGAGTTGGAGGTATTTAAATCCTTTTAAATTTTATTGAACATCATTTCTTGTGAAAAATATTCACCACATGTTCTTTTTTCTTATCCGACTGATTTAATTTTTAGTGAGGCACTACAAAGGCAAATTTGTGTAGAAGATGTGTAATAGTCATCAAGTTTTTGGACTGATTTTTCTTTGGTGGGGATCTATATGCTTCTGTTGACCTTTTTAATTTCATGCAGGCTGGTTTTATGATCTGTGTTATTGCTGCTATTGATTCCTCCCAGAGGTACTATTCTTGTACTTATTTGCCAACCAACCAAAGCCTTTATACTTATTGCAATCATTTTACTACAGGGAGCTGGTTGCTGCTGTACTTGAGAACCTTTCTAAAAAACTACAATACAACTCCAGATCAGAGGTTTTTTTTTTTTCAGTTTATCTTTAATCCTCTCACTAGTTTATAATACAGATTGATATTGATTGTGTCATTGAGGGACAAAACTGAGCTATCTAGACTTGGTTTTTTTTTTTTTTTTTTTTTTTTTTTTTTTTTTTGTGACTAACTGGAAGTAGCTCTTTTATGAGGTTATTATACATCAAGGTGATTGAATTCAGCTGTTTCGCAGTACATTGGAGAGCTTATTGCACCAATTATTTTCTTCTGGGTCCGCTTTTACCCCTATACCTGATGAGAAAATCAGTGTACTACTCAGGGTTGTTACAAAGGTCAGAAGCGATAAAGATAAGCTGAAAAAAACATAAGAAAAAGAAAAAGAAAAATAATAGTGACAAGGGTACAAGTGAGGGTGAAATAGTCATGAGTGGTGGAAGTGGAAGTGGAAGTGAAGCTCCAGTTAAGAAGAAGCTAAAAGATGGTAAAAAGAAGAAGCAAACGCATAAATCTGATGTAAAATTGGGTAATAAATCATTAAAAAGTCAACCAAAAGTAAGTCAGAAAGGTCAACAGAGCAGAAAGCCACAGCTTGTTGCTAGAATCTCCAGTAAGGGAAATGATGAAGATGATTAAGGGTGTTTGATATACAGTGGGAAACAGAATCTTCTTTCATGGATGATAGATTTGGGTGTTGTTATGCCAGGTGGCAAGTTGCAGTATGGGGAAAAGGGAAACTCAATCAGACACTAAAAAATTTATATTTCCAGTCTGGATCTTCTTTTCTGAAGTGTCTCCTGGAATCTTGGAAGAAAGAAAAGGATTCAAATACTATCAAATTTAATATTGTTGATGTTGAAGGAGATGATCCTAATGATGACAGGTGTAATATATGTGGAGATGGTGGTGACTTGATTTGTTGTGACGGTTTCCCTTCCACATTCCATCAAAGCTGCCTTGATATCCAAGTAATTATAAATCTATCATTACTTTTCTTGCAGGTATTGGGACTTCCTTGTTTGGAATGAAATTCCTAAATTGTCCTCTTGCACCCGGTGAATCATGGCATCCATATGTAATCAAAATGGCCCTTCATCATCCTGATGAGGTACATATCCATTTCTATGAATATTCCCAATTTTGTTTTATCGAGTGAATTAAATGTTTGGTCTCTGAATATGGCTTATTTTTTCAATTTGGTCCCAAAAGTTTTCTCTTGCAGTTTTGGTCATCCTTTGAGGTTCTTATAACTTTTTTGGTCCTTTTTCCAAGTAATACCTGATTGATTTCAACTTTGGCCCCAAAAATATAGTCATTTTCTTGAAACAGATACCAAAAACTTCAAATAAGACCAGAATTGCAAAAATTAGGGGAACAAAAATGTAATTAACTGTTGTTTGTTTTGTTATTAAATGTATCTCAGAGGGATTTGGGGTATATATACCTTGATTTAAATTGTAGACAGGGGAAGTATCCTGGTTGTGCTCATTTTGCCATAAGAGGAGGGCGTGCAGTTTCCAAAACAGAATACCAGTTGCCAGTAAATTGTTATTACAGTATATTTTGTTTTGTTCATCAAGGGAAAATTGCAGGAATTATTATTGTATTCCATTACCAAGAATAGAAAAAAAGTGATGAAATGTTTTTGTTGATTATTATTGTGAAGGTGATTGCCGTTGTTTGCAACTTCTCAAAGCCCCATAATTCATCAATCGTGAGACTTAACCACTCTGATGTGGATACCCTTTTCCATGAATTTGGGCATGCTCTACATTCCTTGCTTTCACGAACAGTAAGTGTTGCACCATTTTTTAAAGACTTGATTGAATTAATCAATCTTTGGTACTATTTTTATTGTATTATGAATTGGTTGATCAAAAAATGTATAGTGATAGATTGAAAAGCTTGTTTATCCATTTCAAAATTTCACCAAAATTGACATGAAATTCTACAACTCTCGAGATATTAATTGTGGTACATCGGAAAATTCTTGATTTTAATTGATAACAAATACATATACATTAAGGCTAAATGCAAGAAACACAATGTACTTTTTTTTATTTGTGTTTTATAACTTTTATTTCTTTCTATTACAGAAGTGTGCTTTCAGTTTTTTTTTCTAGGCATTTTGCTTTGAAAATCTACCCAAATCTATTAGTGAAATTTGGCATTCTTATAATTGGGTAGAGTTTTCATAGTACAATGCTGAAATAGGAAAGAAAGAAAGTATGATGCTATAATAAACAAATCAATGATAGTACATTGCTCTTTTTTGCATGTAACCATATAAATTTTGATCTCAAAATGCATATACATAAAGGAACGTTTTTTTTACTAATCAAATTGCTTGTTTTGTATTTGATCCTTTAGGGGTACAGATGGACAAGGTGAAGAGGTTATTAAACCATACACCCCAACCACTTTGGATTGAAACTAATCATCTGTTGTGATGTTAGTTATGTGATGAATTGAAACTAATCTTATTTGTATGTAAGTTTATTTATTTGTTTTGGACTTGAGCTTAAAATATTGTAAATTACATTTTACAGGTGTACGCATGTTGCCAGCTGGAAGCGGTATGGGTATTGTGTGTGGGATGACTAGAGGCATCAAGATGGCAAGACCCCCCTCTTCCTCCATCATGAATTCCACCACTGGTTTGTTGACTTCCAGTACACCTACACCAACACCAACACTTGCTCAAGGAAACTCCATGTTGAGATCACGTGAGGCTATGCATATGATTCGGGTGAGTTCCAACGGAATTGGAATTTGAGATTCCATTCCATTGCTGGTTTGGTTGGCCAAACTGATGGAACGAAGTTCATTCCTTATATATATATATATATATATATATATATATATATATATATATATATATATATATATATATATATATATATATATATATATATATATATATATATATATATATATATATATATATATAGGTTCAGGTTCATTTGAGACCATTCTAAATTTGTGAGACCGTGAGATCAAATCTAAAAATAATTTTAAAATGCAAAATAAATGGAAAAATCCAAAAATTCTTTTTTTAAATATTATTTTCGGAACTTGAATTAATTAAAAAAAATTTAAAAGAATATAAAAAAAATAAAAAAAAATTCCGTTTTTTTTTTTAAAATTACGTGAAATATTCTAAATAGAATATTACACTGACATATTCTAAAAAATAATTTTAAAATGCAAAATAAATGGAAAAATCTAAAAATTCTTTTTTTAAATATTATTTTCGGAACTTGAATTAACTAAAAAAATTAAAAAAAATAAAAAAAAATTCTATTTTTTTTTTGAAAAATACGTGAAATATTCTAAATAGAATATTACACTGTACATATTCTAAAAATAATTTTAAAATGCAAAATAAATGGAAAAATCAAAAAATTCTTTTTTTAAATATTATTTTCGGAACATGAATTAACTAAAAAAAATTAAAAAAATAAAAAATAAATAAAAATAAAAAATAAAAAAATGCGTTTCACGGTCTCACAAAATATAGGTGGTCTCAAATGAACCTAACCCCATATATATATATATATATATATATATATATATATATATATATATATATATATATATATATATATATATATATATATATATATATATATATATATATATATATTTGAGAAAAGACTAAAATACCCTTTTATCAATGTTTTGATTTCTTTATACAGCCCAACCAGAACACAGTGGTGGCGGAACAATCATCACAAAGCGAACTCTAAATTCCTATTGTATTTCAGTATGGATTAATTGTAAAGTCAACTCTGCAGATCCCTGTTGGGCAGCTAGGGTCAGGAAGTCCATGGTCGTTATTTGAAGACCAGGTCAAACTTTTTCACTAAATTTTTATGTATTATATTTGTTGAGAAATAAGTGTTGTTTATAAAATGTGTGTTGTCTCCTCAGTCACTTGTTGTGTTGGTTCATGATATGGATCCAACCGGGAGCTTATAAGTGATGCCATTAACAGCACTTTGCAATTCAAGGTAACTATCATATATGTTGTGTTGTGTTGGTTCATGATGTACATCATTCAACCCCAGACCGTATTTCAAGTTATTCATTAATTGGTTGTATTGAAGTTTGGATTCTTGGAAAAATGTATGTGACTACATGTGTATTAAATTTTAATATTTTATAACATAGATTGATGATGCTTGAAGCCTTTCTGAATACTAATGTGTTGACGATGAAAACAGGTATCATGCGGAAACAGAAGCATAACAATAAGAAGTAGAAACAAGAAGGTGTTCCTTAATAACAATGTAGTATTAGGTTATATAGTTAGGAAAACCTCTTTCCATGGAACGATTATTTGTATGACATTAAATTGATGCAATAGATTCTATTTTTGTATATTATATTTTAATTTCTACTATGAAACATTAAATACAAATTTAATTTGAAAATAAGTAAATCTATAAATAATATTTTTTTTAAACATTTAAAATTATGATACGCAAAAATGTGTGTCATCTTCATTTATTACATGGCCTTTCTTGATAGGGGCTTTCTTGATACGCATTACCTATCATTAACACACGCGTCGTAAGGTTACGACACGCGAATGCATGTTGTCTTCCTTGATACGCATTGTGTGTCATAAATGCGCGTCGTAATTGCGCGTCGTAAATGTGAGCGCGTCATCTACCTTTATGACAAGGCCTTCCTTGACGCGCATTTTCGCGTCGTCTGAGCCTTTTACGACGCGCAATGAGCGTCGTAAAAGGCTATTTTTCTAGTAGTGAATACATACACGTGGAATTTGAGTCGCAGGAGATGGAACAAACATGGAAGGATGTTGTGGCTGTTCATATTGTGTGTTGTATAAAGGAGCTGGTGGTTGTTGATAGCTTTCACGTTGATAAGAATTCTCATCCTAAAAACAAAAAATAAGATTCCAATATTAATTAAATCAGCAGAACCATTTGACTCTTTTTCTGCAAAAATAAATAAACACAAGGGAATTATTAAAAATAGCAATATAGAATGAATAATAATAATAATAATAATAATAATAATAATTAGATCTCTTAAAATCACAAGTTCAGGAGACAAATCTTCTGTGCCCATTAGCTTCAAATACTCCATAGCTGTAGTCAAAAGTCCTTGACTTGCTAAAATCTGAGCATACTTTCCAAAAAGTTTACATAAAGAGGCATTGAATCTCTTCTATCATGTTTCTAAAGCAAGAACCACAGTCTTCTCAATCAAATCCCAACACAAACAAAAAAGAAAACACAAATTAACACTTACTACTCAAATTTTAACTTAAATCTTTTCATAAACAAGTGTTTACCTGAAGAAGGGAAACATAGGATTCTCCTTTGTGCTTAGTGGTAACATTATTTGACCAAATTTCAACTATTTTATAAATGTTCCCAGGGCATATATAACAAAGGGTTGCAATTAACGTGTTTCCAGAATATACAAGTCTAGAAGCATGGGTATCACAAAGTAAAGTCCCTTCCTCCCTTTAAGCAAACTGTGTATATAGTAAATCAGTAATAATACCATCTTCGTGAGACCAAAACAGAAAAAGCAGGTCAAAAGTAAAAAATTATAAGTTTTTACCACACTCATGGAAAGAACGTTGTTCATGGATTAACCTATAAGAATTAACCATTGTAATTTTTTATCGCACAAATCACAATGGATCATAAGCAGGTTCATTGGTTCCCTAAAGTCCTCTACTCTTTGACCGATTTACAATAGATAATTACATGGCAAATAGGTTAAAAAAAATTAAAAAAAAAACTATTTAGAGGCCAAATTAAAGTAAATGTTGTTAAAAGGATTAAGAGGTCATCTTGAGGGTCTTTTGTCACACCCCAAAACCGGAACGACGGAAACGTTCGGCGGTGGAGGACGTCATGTGCAATACCCCAACAAAGCATAGTAGTAAACAAGCAACAACATCATCCATTGCATTAATAATATAATTAAATGCAAGTGTGTTATGTGAAGTTTATAAGACACCAAAATGTAAATCAAAATAAGAGATGAGTCTTGAACGGGCTCCATCTTCTCAAAACCTGGCATTGGTACCTGTCTACTGATGACCTGAGAATACAAGTTATTTTGAAAGAGTTTATCAGCTTTAAAGCTCGTGAGTTCATAAGCACTTTAGTGTCATTGTTTGTATGAAAATATTTGTAAGTGCTTGAATGTATAAGTTTGTAATAAATGTTTGTATCTCCTAGAAAATCCTATATTTTCTACTAAAAGTAGCCTTCTACCAAGGCATCAAATGTTCTGTATATATTTTCTTGTAAGAGTGTGTATTTTCCCAAGTGTGACTATCATTAACCAAAAAAAAAAGTTTTGTAAAACCTTTTGAAGAGTTTAAATAAATATTGATGGCTTGATTTCATTTTATAAAACGGTTTAAAAGTCTTTTGACATATAGAAATAAGTTTGATAAAGAGTTTAACATGTAAAAAGAGTTTGATAAACATTTTGAAGTAGTTTGTTTGATAAAACAGCTAAAAGTATAGCAAATCCAATTGTTTGATAGTTATTAATTTATAATGATTCAACTTGTATCCCCCCTCCCCCCATAAAAGCATTTAAAACATTTATAAGGTTGATTAAGTGGTATGAACTCACCTGTAGTGAGTGGTTTGGATGAACGAGTGGTATAGGATGCTAAGTGTCAAGTGAAGACTTGAGCACATACAAGGATCCTATTTATCTTATAAAGACACATATATGTATCTAGTTAGTGTTTATAACATCTAACCATGAAATTGAACAACCTTAGGGACTAGGCAACACTTGTTATGAAGTGTTAAACCACATAGGATTGCATATGAGGGAATATGGCCTCACAAAGGAGTTTACGGCCAGCATGGAAGTCTGACATGAGTTTACAGCCAAAGGTTCACGGCCCTATGATTTTACGGTTGTAAACTCATGGTATTTTGTACTAAATTGTGTTTAAGGTCTTACAAGTCATTAGGAAGTGTTCTAGGTTGAAGTCTAAGCCTTAGGAAGGAGTGGTGGCACAAATACACCACAAATTATGGTTTACGGCCCAAGGTGATTGCCTTGGCCGTAAACACCTTATGTTCTTGAGTTTGTTGATGTTTTCTAGTTGTTTAACACGTAATTAAAGCATATAAAAAGCTAAGAGTAGTATACTTATATATAAGAAGCTTGTAAGGGTGTTTAAGGTCCAAGAACACTAGTGTGTGTTCTTGGTGAAATGAAGAACACTTGAAGATATATCAAAATGGAGTGATTTCATGGGCGAAATCAATGATCCTTACTAGATAAAGTGTTGTAACAAAAAATTAAAGGAAAGAATTCTTACATTTTTGGAAGATCAATATGAAGAACTTTATGAAACTTGAGAGAGAATGGGAGTTTTTGAACTTGAAAGGAAAGAAGTGATGAAAAATGATGTAAACTCATGTATATATCATGAGTTTACGGCCAAGGATGAGTTTATGGCCCAAACTCATGAAGTTTGATAGTAAACACCTCATAATGGGCTTAAGGATTGTTTGTTGTACATTGAACCCTAGAAGATACTTCCTAACACTTGATTCTTGAATGGAATATGATTAGAACACACAAATAGACTCTAAACAGTGCTAAAAGTTAGCAGAAATAAGTTTGACTGTGATTCAGTTGAACAACTGTACAAGATAGAAATTTCGGGTTGTCACATCTTTAGAAGACTGGGTTCATAACATGATCTAAATACATGTTCATGGATTAACATATAAGCATTAACATGATTAATAAAAGAATACTTGTCAAGACGATTGCAAACTTCTAATTTCATGGGAAAAAATAGAGATACCAAAATTACATGCGTAGAAAATCCCACCAAATCCAAACCTGTGAAATCAAAAATGCAAATAGATGAGAACTCAAAAGCAAACTAAAATCCTAAACCAAACCGAGCTAAAAAAAACTTATGGTTTTCATGGAGGAAAGTGATGGCTTGTGAATAAGACCTCAACAAGGCGAAGTTCAACATCATCTGTAGCAAACTGAGAAACGTTTAAATTTTGACCCCTAAGTCCTTTCATATGTGACGCCAATTGCTCATTCTCTTCTTTCTGAGCCCTAACTCTTTTAAACGCTTATAAAACTGTCTCCTTTCTCTGCAGACAATAACAATTCAAATTTGAAACATAAATATTTCTTCATAGACAGAACACATAACTAATAACTTACATGTAAGAATTGAAAGCAAGAGAAAATATTAATGTACGATGGAAGTGTTGTTGATTGAAAATTCATCGACGATTCTTAACATTCTAGGATCGGCTGCCTTAGGCTTCAGTTCAGTTGATACAACACGAGTCACTCCATTCCGTCGCTTAACCCTAACAATGTCTGCAAAGGAATGGCGACCGACGGTGAATCTGGTAATGCAATCGTTAGAAGCTAATGAGCGAGAGGCTGCTTTCATAGCGGAATTTGTGAGACTTGCAATGAAATCGTTACGCTCTTACCTAAATGCCCAAATTGTGAACTAAATGCAGGCAATAAGGGAAGGAAGGATGTGAAAGCTTAAAAGGCAAGAGTTAGGGTTCCGGTGGGTTTGCTAAAATTAGAAGGTCAGACAAATTATAAAGCGATGACAAGGTACACCAGAGCACACCGACACCAACACGCTCGGCAATGTGGCATTTTCTAATTTTTGGGTTTCTAATCGAAGCCGGGAGGTTGATACAGGTTTTCAAACTGAAATCGGAGATTAGAGAGCCGAAGAGGAGAGAATCACAGAAGGCATGAAGTGTGGATTGAGTTTTTAGGGTTCAATGGTGGTAGCGATGAATTAGGGTTTAAAGAGAGAATGGAGGGAGATACAGAGGGGAGAGAGTGCGGGGTAGTTCAAAATTTTATAATTTGAGAGGATTTCATTTTCCCCCTTTCAAAACGTGTGTTCCAGTAGAAATTATAAAGTGAACTTGTAGATGACACAC